CGTTTGAACGTCCACAGTGTTTTGTGTGTATTCAGCCCGTCGCTGTTTTCACTGCTGACTGCGTTCATTTTTTTCGTTGTTGTCATCGCTGATGCTGCTGCCTGTGTATTTTTAGAAAATACCTCCTGGGCGTGCTGTAAACACGCCTCATCTGAAGGCTTCTGGCTTCCCTTTGACAGCGCAGACCGCCGTGCATTTATTGTGACTGATGGCAGCATAAATACAATGAAACTCAAACCCAGCTCTGCGGTGTGTCTATATTTGTATATGTATGCGCGCGTTTCGGTGAGTTCACCAGCATACATTGACTTTTTGCCACTCTCCACCATTTCTGTCCACTCGGCACTTCTGCCGCTCCAGGAATTTTTTTTCTGTCTTCCTCCACCACCCCCCGCAACCTTTGCTCCGATTTGTCGGAACGTTTTTAGGATTCCTCTGCTTTTTTGGAAAAGCAGTAAGTTTGAATTCCAGCTTTCGCTCTCCCTCAGGCAACTCAGTGTGCATGTGTGTTGAATTCCAGGCACAGACAATTGACTGATTCAGTTGGAATGTATTTGTTGCCCACAGGGCTCTGGATTCAAACACAGAAAATAAAACACACACACAAACACAGATTGTTCATCATCCCTCAGCGGGAGAAAGCGATTGCTTTCATTCACAGTGATTATCTCTGCCTGTGCGACTCGTTTTGACCTCCCCTGACCTTTTCCTGCAAGAGCGTGCATCATCTTCTAATACTGTGTGCTTTACCTCTGGTCTCTCATGGGTTACGACCTCTCTTCTGTCTGTACACGCAACCTTTTGCCTATCACACCGAGCCCGAAGTCACACGACTTTTTGTGTAGTTGTTTCCAGGAACGTGTTGTTATTAAACAGGAGGCCAGAGAAAGAGACACCCTGCCATAAAAAACTTTACTGGACCCCCAAAATTGTGCAGAAAATTGTCTGGGTTTCTTCACCAAACATCACCCGCATTTCAAACATAACAAAGCTGATAGCGTGTCGGAGATTCTTTAAGTGGGTCTGATTTTTCTGCCATCAAACATTTGTTTTAATAGGAAATTTGAGCTCATTTCAGAGTTAAGTCCGCTGGCTGAGCACAGCTGGTAATTTTACAACTATTAAAGCTTTAAGAATTTTAAGAATTTGGAGGAAGAAGTTTGATTTCTGTGATATTCTGTGGTCATACATTTAGGATCATGAGTCCTAAATGACCAGTTTTTGGTTGGCAAGTTTAAAGTCTTATCAGGGCATTTAGGATGGCGTTAGAGTTTTAATGAGCCTGACAGCTCATAACATGGTAATGTACTTGTTAGAGTTGGCTGACATTTAGACTTTTTCCCAAATGGAGAGAGTCGCAGACAGAGAAATTCACTTAAACTGTTTGTACTGGCTTTCGGGCGTAGCAGCTCTCTGCAAGAAATGGAAGAAATCGCTTCTGCACAGTCACAGACTCTCTCGTTCTCTTCGCTTATGTATTTATTATGTATGTGTTTTTCTCAGCTCCACAGAGGTGGACGATATGATCCGCAAGTCGACAAATCTGCTGTTGACCAGAACTCTTAGCCACTGTCTGCAGTACGCCATTAAGAAGAAGAATGTCGGACTGGCAGAGGTAATGTGTGTGTGTGTGTGTGTGTGTGTGTGTGTGTGTGTGTGTATTTTTCCAAAAAAGTGGACAGATAAAACCACAATGGTCACTCCAAAAGGTCAGACATTTTTCTGAACTGAGGAAGATGTGGGGAGTTTCTGTTCTCCTACTTTGGATTTAATATTTTCGTCTGACCAAAAACCATAGACGTAGAATTAAAGTTGACATAAGTTGAGCGTTTTGACGCTTTCCATCTTGTTTTTTGTTTGTTTTGTTTAGTTTTTTACCTGAATTTGACAAAACAGAGAATATGTTTATTTATATAGTGTCAAATCACAACAACATTCGCCTCACCGCACTTTTTATTGTAGAGTAAAGACTGTGCAATATTAGAAAGAATCTCCAACAATCAGATGACCTCCTACGAGGGGACACTAGGCAACAGTGGGAAGTCGCCGTCTGCTGCGACTAGCTTAAGGGGTGAGAGGAAAAAGAGGCAAACTGAGATTACTCTAATGGGATTATAACTGACAAAATAAACTCGCTGTATTAAATAAGGACAGAGAGAGTGTTAAATGGGTGGATACAGATATATGTCTATTTTTTCCCCCAATAAACCACTGGTGAGGTGGATATCCCTTATATGGTCTTCTCAGGCACTCTGACTGTGAGCACAGAAGCCCCACCCACCTGCTGTTTATACCTTCTGTTTGGAGCCGGCAGCCAATTAGAAGAAACGAAACGACCATTACAGTAGTTTCTGGGTTTTTTTTGAAGGGCAGCTGCACAGGTAGAGGTGACCCTCACTAACTTCTGATGCACACCCAGTTATTTTGTTCTATAATGAGGTTCAGAACAGAGCTTCAAGTAATACTCCTAGCAGGCTTTCACATAGTAAGAAACTTTTAACAACTTAAAAAAAAAAAATCTTACTTCATCCTCAACAATTTCTGTCTTTTATTTCTGTATCTAACAACAAAAACTGGGATGACGTTGAGTTGCAGTCAGAAGCATGTGCAGTGGGGTCGAAAAACCCTATTCACTGAACATAGTTTCGGTCCCAGCAGTGGGGCCCACCCTGCTGTTTGCAAAGTAAGAGGAACTAAAGCAGCTTGTGTCAGAGGATGAACAGAGGAGCTGCACCAAGACCCACTATAAGATAAACAAGGATTATTCTGAGCTGGGACTCATGCAAAGCTGCTCTAGTCGAGAGAACAAATAACATTGCCAGTAATGACAGTGAAATTATGAAGAGATGGAGACAGAGCTCTACTGAACAAATGCTCATTAGACTTGTGTTACAATAATGGCCTCTGAATGGTGGATTTTTGCAGTGATGTGAGCCAGTAAACAAGTGAAGGCTTATGTTTTTGATTCTATCTTTTATTATGTTGTTTTCTTTGGCAAGTGCAACTTTTGTCACCCCTGACACTTGTAATAACCTTCTCAGAGTGAACATGTTACTCTAAAGTCGCTTGCACAACTTCGGAGTAGTTCTCTTACTCAGAATGGCGATTCTCAGCATTTCCAGCTCATTTACTTTCCCAAAAACAGACATTTCCTCTTTTCGGCCCACTGTTATTGTTGTCCCATCGCTGCAGAATGTGATGTGAAGTAATGATTTAATATTTTCCACTTTCCGTTGCTGTTTATTTTCATGCTCAGCGGCTACACTAGAGCACAAACATCATTAATTCACGGGGACAGGATGTAATGATAAGACGACGTGTTATGGAAAATTCAGCACGTCTGCATCCTTTATTAAACAAGTTCATCTAAGAATCACAAAGCTCTATTTGTTGTTCAAATTAAGGCTTATGAGGAAGTCACTAGACTGATTGTTGCAGAATGTGAATGCATTTGCACACCCGTTTGCTCCTGTCATTGCACGTATTGCAGTTTGGATTCGATTAATGCATAAAAATTCACGATTAAAGCCAAAAATCAAGTAACCGTTTGTACTTTTTAACCTAAGAAAGATCAGTAAACGTGGCAAACGTATCCCACACGGTCCACAGGAGACATTATACTTTTAAATTCGGTGGTATGTTTGATATTTGGCTTTTTGGCGAGCTCTCGGCCCATTTCATCGAAAAATTGCCCACATGCTGGAAAAAAAAAGTCGAACTGTTCAATATGTTCCACTTGCAAAAGATGACACATTGTGAAAAAATGTGAGGAAAAAGAACTATCGGCTACGCAACAGAAGGAGAAAGAATCCAAAGATGACCGGCTACATGTCTGTCCTGTTTGTGTAGTTGGTGCAGGTGATCATTAACACCACTCACCTGGAGCAGAGCTGCCACTTCCTGGAGGAGTTCATATCAAACATAACCAATGTTCCTCCTGACACAGTAAATGCTACCAAGCTGTACGGCACCTCCACCTTTAAGGTAAGGCTGCTCTTTCTTCCTCTGTCTCCTCTTTTCTCCCCAGCTGTTTTACTTTTTCTTTATTCCCCCATTCTTCCTTTCTTTTTCCTCCTTTCCACACAGTTTGTTTATCGTGCCATGCATTGTCTGTCTGCAACATGAAGGCACGCACGTGTCTCCAGTTTGTAAATTCTATGATACTTTTCCTTTTTTTCTTTTCTTTTTTTAAAATTCTCTGTTGGTTACAATCTTCTCTTGCAGGATGCTCGTCATGCTGCAGAGGCGGAGATCTACACCAGCCTGAATGCAAAGATTGACCAGTTCCTGCAGCTGGCTGATTACGACTGGATGGCTGCGGTGCCCGGAGGCGAGAATCTGGCTGCCAGCGACTACCTGATTGACCTGATTGCTTTTCTTAAGAGCACCTTCAGTGTCTTCACCAATCTGCCTGTTAGTAAACACATGAATACACACACACACTATAGACTTTACAGCATTGGAACACCAGAACAGAGAATCGAGCCATTCAGCACAACTAAGGAAATCTGCAAATCTCACCTGCAAATATAAAGAACTAAATAACTATAACAGTGCTCCATCCATCCATTTTCCATCCAGTTTATCCAGGTCAGGGTTGTGGGGTTGCAGCCCAGATGCCACAGGGCGAGATCAGTACACTCTGACAGGTTGCCAGTCTGTCGCAGGCTAACACAGGGAGACGTACAGTCATTCACACTCACATTCCACACATAAGATTACATTTTAGATTCACCAGTGAACCTAATCTCACTAACTGCATGTCTTTGTACTGTGGGAGGAAACCAGAGTACCACGAGACAACCCACTCAGGCACCCAGGACCTTCTTTCTGTGATGAAACTGTGCAAACAACGATTATCGTGCTGTCCTACAGCAGACAGCGATTAAATTATAACTTAAAATGAATTTAAGTAAAAGAAGAAGAGAATGTAATGTTTTAAAATCAAAGTGAGGAGTAAAATTGATAAGCTTTCTTAAAAAGTTTTTAAAGATGAATCTCAAACTGCTACAGAAACAAATGTACAAAACTTGGGGATTCTGGCAGGTCCGGGTGTTGTTGGCCAGAATGAACTAAGTTGACATCCTAAGTGTATACAGCGTGCTTCGGTTTAGCAGCAGGTATGGTGGATGTTGTAGTGTTCACAATATGTGGGTCATTAAAGTGTTTATCAGAGAGATGAAACAACCGCCTGCTAAGCAGACGGTACAACACAGAGAGGCCTAAGACAGCATCTTTCACCGTCTTCCAGTGTTGTGCTTGCAGCTGTCCCCAACTCTCTGTGAACAGTAGTCATGGCCACAGATCGATTTGTGACAACAATTTGCATATTAATGATCATGAAACTGAACTCGTTTAGGGCTCTGCTATGAATTTGGCCACCATTACGAGAATCGATCTCACTAGGAAGAGAGGAATATCGTTTCCTGTGCCCAAGACATGAGGTCGTCCTAAGGTCATCATAAAACAGCCTCACAGCGCCCCCCCCCTGTGAGATTAATGTGAAATGTTTCTAAATTACAAAAAGGAGGTTTAGTAGCACTGTGTTTCACACGTGTTGTATTTACTCTCGGCTACACGCTCTGAGTGTGCCGTTGTGTTCATTTGTCCGTCTCGCTTCGTGTTAGCATGACGCATCACAGGGCAGCACAATCTGCTTTACTTCGTTAAAGGATCAGCTTGTTACAGGTTAGGTCGTTAACATGGGCTCCGCTAAGCTTATTAAAGGGTGAGCTGGTTAGGTCAGGACCACTCGATTATATACAGACTCAGGCTGGTGATGCTGCTGCCCAACTTTAATGACATTACACTTCAGGTCAGGATATCACAGCACAATTTCCCACATTTTACAGTGTTTCTAAAGTGGGAAGAAATAATTATACTGTTCAAAGAAAATGAAAGGAATGCTTGATCATGACAGTGAAACCTACACTAAGTAGGGTTAAAGTTCAGGCATACCAGTCCCACACTAGGAAGCAGAAGCCATTGTGAATCCATTTTAGTTGCTTTGGTGCAAATAAAAGTGACAGCAGTGACTGGAAAGGCGACGACAGGACATCCTTCCAAAAAAGACAATGGTTTGCAGATGGTGGCCACACATCATTGCTCTTTCCATTTTCCCCTCCAACTTTCCTTATTGTTAGCGGCTTTTTCACTACTAGTAGCACGAGTTCGCCTGAAGCCCATTCAGGTTGCACAGATATTCAGCTTCTCTAGTACTTTACGTGCTGTTGTAAGAAGGTGTGCTGTGTCTCCCTGCACAGTCTCAAGAGTGCAGAGGAGATGCCAGGAGACGGGCAGTAACTCGAGGGTAACCGGACAGGGCTGTAGAAGCAGCGGGTCCAGTGTTTGCTCCGTTTCTCACTAGCCAAACCTCAAATCAGTGCTAATGTCGCAGCACTGCACTGTTGTCCAAATACGCTCACTTTCCAGTTTCAAGTAAACAAGATGGTAACGGCCAAAAATGTGTGGATGGCATCATGTTCGCTACGTTTATCGTTTATACAAAGCCTTCAGAAGGAACTGAAGAAAATAGAGGGGCATTGTACTGCATGCTGAGCAGAAAAGCGGACAGAGCTTAATATCCCAGCTATGTTGTTCCCACTCTGAATCTACTGTTTTGGGTTAATTTAAAAAGTAAAATGGGATTAACCCGCTCAGCTTTTAATGACAAACAAAAACTGAATTTTAAAGCCTGAAATTGGATTTTGTATCAGCTGTTTTGATCATTTAAGCAGACAAACCGATTTGAGAGCCTACACACACAGAAATACACTCACACACGGACACACACACATTAGCTTTAAGGTGATTTTGCACGCAGATTTAGTCCCAGAGGGTCACAAGGTCATAAGCACCCACACATGTATGCACCAAGTGTTTTCTAGCATTTCTAAGAGGCTTTTTCTGCACCCCCACAAGCCCTGGACATGACCCCATCACACACACGTTAACACCCAGTGTGGGGCCTCCTAAGCAGATCAGATGCTATGAACCTATGATGCTGGGTGGTATGACCTCCTAGATTAAGAGGTGATTGTGTGAAAGAGTAAGGTTTCACAGAAATGAATTGAATACTACTAAAGTGCGTAAACAGGTTTATAGGGGCATAAATTAACAAATACGTTTATACTGCCCCTTTATTCATGTCCTACTGTGTGTCTGGGTCTATGCGAGTAGGGAGCAGCAGCATTTAAAAGAGATCTCTAAACCTCCTACTTCTGGGGTGGTACAAAGGTATGCAGCCAAAAGATGCTTTCTGTTGATTTTTCCAGAGTGTGTCGTCATTTTTGCACACTACCCAAAAACCTCACCAAGGAAGCGTCTCAGTTGGTCCAGTCCAGCTCAACTGGCTCTTTTCCAGCACATCACTGTAGGTCCATCTAACCACTTTCCCCAATTCATTAACGAGACACCTAGATACTTGGATCTTCAACCCTGAACCAGCACTTCACCCTTTTCTGGCTGACAGCTGTGGCCTCAGACTTGCAGATGCTCATTCCCATCCTGGTGCAAATTGGAAGTCGTTGCTTGATGAAGCCATGCCGACCACATCATCTGCAGGAAGCAGACGTGATCTTTAGGATGTTCTCTGATCTTTAGCTGTGCCTGAAATTTTGTCCATAGACGTTATGAGCCCAGTATGAGTAACTTATTGGTGGCAATGTGAAGCCCTGTATTTTTACATGGACCAAATAGCACATAACATGAAACCTAAATACTGTACAATCAACTATTAAGCCCCATAGGATTCACTGAGGGATGCAGTTGAATGTCTTCTCCAAGTCCACAAAATAACATCTAAAACACTTTTAATGGCTTCTAGTATGAGTACTGAAAGCCAATCTGAATTAAATTGTTAAACTAATTAAATTAGATTATTACGGATTTCCTGTACTTTGACTGTCATACACTTTCAAAGCCACAATTTTCTGGACGACCTTAGATCATCAGCCAAATTAAGACCAGCTTCAACTCATGAACTCAAGTTCAGGGCTTCGCAGTGCTTCCCACTCATGGATTTTACTTTGATGGAATACTGTGAATGATCCTTTTTTTAATATATTGCACCATTTCCAAGCTTTGAAGCAGACGGTTTGATGGACGATAATGGGAAGGAAATAAAGCATCCAAATATAAAGTCCTGGATGTTATGCAGCCAACAGTAAGGACATTGAAAACAGCACAAACATACAAACCCCAATCCGATATTTATGGAGTGAAGGAGCAGCATGTTACAGAAACATTCCTGCAGCGATCAGCTCGCTATATTTTTGCACATGCTTGTGTCAGCTGTTTAAACAGCTCTAAACCTATTAGTATTAAATGTAAAAGCTCTAAAGGTACTTGGCTCATATTTCCTGAACAGCCACAGGAAAGATTACACTTATTCGTCTCATGCCTCAGTTTCAGTTCCTAGAAAGGAAAGCGTTTCCTTTATCCAAAGACTAATACTACGTCTACTTAGAAAAAGGATCATAATCGAATTGGGCTCAAATTTTAAAAGCAGAAGGGGGACGACGTGAAAAGTCCTCTGGAGTGAAAACAGTCACATGAATATTGGAGAGCAAACTTTGGGCCAACCCTTCGGTTTTATGGTTTATGGGCACTTAGATCATTTTTCTGTAGTGTTCTGAGATGTTTTGGCCACTGCTGCCGCCGTTGTGTCCACCAGATCTGCGTGGTGCTTCAGCACGTTGCACAAAGTGCCAGTTAAAGCCAGATTAGCTTCATCTCGAGGGCCTGTGTGTAATATATACACACACTGAGGTAGAAAAAGCTGCCAATGTCCTTGCAGTGATTTGATTGAGGAGGATTGTTTCCAGGCAGCCATTATATACTCCTTCCACTCTTTTTTTTTTTTTTCTTCCTTCCATTAAGAACACATGACTTCTGATGCTTTGCCCTGTGCTAAATATCCTGGTTTATGTTTCTTGCTTTAGGGAACACCCATAGAACACGCTACCTTACCGGTGAGTATCTGGGCTGCTGTTGTGATGGAGTGATGTTTACAAACCCCTGACTCACCTTGTTAACCCTCAACCCTGACCTTAAATCTCCTCACTAGAACGCATCGACCAGCATGCAAGATGAAAAGAGAGTGATGCACGTTTGCCTGAATCGGTGTTATCTCTGTCCCAACCAGGGAAGGAAATGGGGGCACAATTCTGTTTGTTTCAACTACTGAACCACATATTTTGGCAGGTTAAATTGTCATTTTGTTGTAGGTTCAGTCATAGTATGAAACCTTTGTTATGTATTATAACTGTGTATAAACAGTTGATATTTAACTCTCTATCTGAGAGTTATCCAATCTTGACTAGAGCATATCTGGTACGCTTGGGCGGTATCGATGTGTATTAGTAAAGAAGACTATTTACAAATCTGCACAGCATGAGTTTTTTGTTGTCCTG